CAGAAGTTGACAGGATATGTTGAATATGTGCATAAAATGGCAGTGGCTGCTTCCGAAATAAGTTATTTGTCCGGCTTGGACAATTTATCTATTAGTCTTACTCAAAGAATAGATGATGCGTTACAGAATATAAAGGAGGAAGTTAATCATATTGCAATACTTGAACAAGAATATTGTGATGTACAAAGAGCATGTATTGAAAATTGTAAGGACATGGAAATTAACGTATTAACGAAAACTACTTTTTATTAATATCACTCAATTTTTGTTTACAGCAAATAAGCCAGACGCGCCTAAGGATGAAACGATTGTTTCTTAAGTTCCATGGTTTCAAAAACTTATGTTTAAGTTTTTATACAGCGAATGGAAGCATATTAGAACTAAATTAATTATACATATTATTTCTGTCTTAAATGACACTTTTCACATTGTTCATTTATAGGTCTACCGAAGTAACTATGTGTAATTAAAGGGAATAGAGGATAATGGAATGTGCACAATTAATTTTGTAGAAAATAAAGATCAACAATTGTATTCACGCATCAAGTTTTATTGTTACAATGTGTCTACCAGGTATCATAACTAAACCGAGAGTTCTCGCTTCCATGTGATCCTCTGATAAAAATTCTGAACATGATCCTAAAATCACATTGGCATCACGATCGGTACACAGAAATGCACCTATTAAAACCCGACCATCTGTCATTTTTATTCTCAAGTTTCGATTCAGCCATCCACGTAATTTCTGCTTCCCTGGGGATTCCTCTGTATTAACAGCCTATTACAATTCCATAAAGAAACTTATGCCAACTAAATTCGTAATATTATTATTAACTAAAAATACATAATACATTTGAAATCAGAATTGATCATGAAACATTTTAATAATAGAACAATACGATATATGCACTAACGTTTTAACTTTAATGACCTTCTGTCCTCTGCCCGTGATAACGATTAAGTATAAAAGATATTCGTAATACAGATTACAGCGTAAACAAAATATTATTAGACACAGTAGGAAAATTAACGAGTTCTCTCGTGAGCACGTATCTAACCTCTCAGACGAAGCAAAGAAATTTTAACACGTTATCTACGTACATACACAAATAGTTGGAGTAAACATTATTGGGAATATAAAATACGGATATTACCTCTCCATTTCCATGAATGTAATCATCGTTCATCATGTTAGATGCATTGTGCCCTTCTTTCATGTCTGATGTATTGCTTGGATGAGAAGATACTAGTACAATTTATGCAAAGGAAAATTATTTTCAAACAAAATAAGGTTTTGGATCTGTTTCCATGTTTCTATAATTCCTGTGGAAACATTTAAATCCCAAATTCCTTAAAAGATCACTGCTCGCAATGTAAACAGCATAGACACTCGCGGAGTATAAAAACCTGACATATACTAGTACATAGTGTATATACATACATATGTCAGACGGGTGTGGTGGAACTGGTGGAAGGAAAGCGAGAGCCATCTCGTTTAATTAATTCAGCAACTTTTTGAATTTAAATAACATTTACTGCATGCTTTTTTTTAATGTGATTTCTATACATTGCTATATGTATGTGCCTCCAAAATGGTTCTTGCTTGGGTTTGTGTAGAAATTATGAATTTTATTTGGAAAGAGCACACCTTATATCGTTCCACCACGAGACGGATTGGGGGTGCTTCAGGCACTATAAGGTTTGATGCATCACACATTACATATGTAGGATTTCTAAAATCAAAAAGAGCTTTATTTTAATTTGTATATTGCAAAATTTCGAATGGGTTATTTTGTATACAAATTCCATTTCTAATAATTATTAACTGTTCTAATGAGGGGAATTTGCGCAATGTGTAATGTGTTAAGGAGAGATTACATTCATCACGTTTTCTCGTTCGAGATCATTTATACGTATTGGAGGTCAATGATAAATCAGAACCCCAGCAGCTCGTTCTTGATCACACGCGAGGGACACTAGATTTCGTAATGCCATGCTTACATTTATCTTTCAACGAGCGATTAAACCAATAATATTGAGAACTTTGCAATGAATGTCTGCTGACGCAAACAAGAATACTTTTTCTTTCACTGTACACATCTCGCGCTATGGGGAATTATGATAATATTATGATAAAAACAAGAAGCTCAAAGTGGATACAAAAAGTATTAGATCTTTTAAAACGCAATAACTTTTTTAATATTGATCCAACCAACATCATCTTCCCGTGGACCACTGGAAGACTTAGTTTACTATATAAAATATAAAAAAAATTTGTTCGTTTTTATTGGAACGGAATCGCGAGAAAAAAGTAAACGTCTCGTTTTTATCTTTCTTATTGGTATAAAATAAATATTTCCTTTTCTTCTCCAAATAAAAATTTGAAACATTCATTGAAATTATTTTTTGATCCAATATTAAAGAACTTATTTCGCTTTAAAAGGTGCTTCATTATTTTTTGTGGTTTTCAGTAAGCTTTTTTTATCACATAGTAATAATAAGCTGCGTTTACGATGTGACGATCGTACATGTTTACATATGCAGTAATTCAAGAAAATACGAGAATTATTCATTGGAAGTATTGGATATCGTTTTCTAGCGTATTTCGGACTCTTTTCTATGAACTCTTGTTTTTCAAAATTTATTTGCATAACACGAAAAAAGGGGAAGAGAAAACGGATTTGTAGATAAGATCTGCGATGCTAGGTGGCATCGAACGATAATAAAGGAATCGTGTTTCCTAGATCAAAGCTAAAAGGTATGAACGAGAGTAAATATGATGTTCATTTCAATTTTTTAAGTATTTCCCGACTGTAATTATCGATTACGAAAGAGGTATACTGTGACGCGCTTCATGTTTTATTGGCAGTCGGGTTTTTATCCATGGACGATTAAACTTGGCACATGATAAGATATTATTGGGTATACTGGAAGAATTACGAAATATTAGAGAATAATCTGGTTAATAATATAATCATCGCTGGATGTTGAATCATTAACTATTTTGCGTTGAACGACGCATAAACAGGGCTCGGAATTATGGAGAACATGAACACGTGGTTAGTTTATTTAATGTCGATTTGACTCGGTTATGTGTAATATTCGTTTTCAGAACATTCAAAGTTAGTCACAAACATATCCCTCGCGCAAGTGAGCCACGGTGCGAGGCAAGCCTAGAAGCTTTTAGAATATGTCCAAATATGGTCATCCTCTACTCCGGGAAAAGGTCTGTTTTGGGTATAAAAGGGTGCTCCACCTTAGCCCTTCGGATTAATCTTGACCTATATCTGTAGCACACGGAAGCTCTGTTTCATCCTGTTGAGAATTTCGTGTGAGTTTCTATACTTAGACTTTCCCCGCGGCTTCACTGCGTAAATTGAAGAAGGAATTCTCTTCCCGTAAAGGGTTGACCATTACTAAGAAATTGTAACACGGATAATAGAGAATATAGACCAGATTCCTAAATTGCTTTCAATATTTTTATTTCAAACCCTGATTCCAAAGTAACTTGATAACCGGAATATTCCGCGAACGATAAGTTTTAGCCGTTCGGGACGTATTAGTACGGTAGCTTACCAATCCGACAACCTTAATACCTAGTGGCCAAAAGGGACTGACCCTCTTTAGTTCGTCCACGACCTGCAGCACAGTTACTAAGGCTGATACTAAGTGTTAGATAAGGAACGTCTCTTCTTTTAAACCAAGACTGACCCAGTCACACTGTCCCTAATTACCTAATGACCAAAAGGAACTGATCCTCCCTGCATTGTCTACGTCCTACAGCCACCGAGGATAACACTAAGTGTTAGATAAGGGACGTCTGTGCGTCTTTCTCTTTCCTTAAGCAAATCCGACTGAGTCAACATACACAGTCACCTGTCGGACCCTTGGCACGGTTACCTCGTAACAATATGAAACTTCTACGTAATATTTTAGTACTGTCTGTGATGGTTACACAACTTCAATATATGTACCGTGTGTAAATGAATTATTTGTCTTCTTATGTCCTTCCCAAAGCTTACTTTATGCGTCGCGTTAATTTTTAATTACGAAAGTTTGACGATGCTGCAAATCTGGCCAGCTAAAAATTTGTTTATGAGAGAAGGTCGATGGTCTTTGTGGACGATCAGAGAAATTATGCATTACTCGTTGCATCGCAAAGTAGCTTTCGACTCACCAGGGAGAGGACCGGTGAAAACTGAATTTGCAGTCTCTTCGAGACCACATTTTAGCTCCTGTTTCGCCCTCCACGTCGGAGCTGCAATTTGTAAGTTACGGCTCGATTTACCCCTTTCGATTCGTTCAACGTCCGTGACCCCGCGCATTTTTCATTTTGTAAATAAGGTGTTGCATCGTTTTCATGCGTTGTGAATACAAAGTCTATTTCAAATATCGTTTAAAATCGCATACATATATGTAACCATATTTCACGAAGGAATAAAGGATAAAAGATCTTCATTGATTCCTACTGCTAACAATTCTCGAAAATTTCATTCTTATTTTTAACCAATATGGGAATCGTAACTTCTGTCTCGTCGATCAAATGTATCCCTATGATTCCTTTCTTTTGGAAGAAAATCTTTGTACCTTATCACTGTTGAAGTATCAAGTCCACGCTTATAGAATTAAGATTTCTGATAAACAAAATTTTCTATTTATATCACGAGTTAACTTCGTAAAATATTCTATTATTGATTAACTTCAATTCCTCGTAATCTTCTATTTCACAACATTTTCCTCATGTCTGTAAAGTTTTATTGGTGAAAGAATATGAGATAGCTGAACGATGAAAAGTAGCTAACTATTTGGTATTATATGTATAACCGATCAGAATAGATTTGTTAAAAATGATTTGAAAAGAAGGTGTAAAAAGTCGAGATACGCAAACAAGATAGCATGTTTAATGAAATGATATCACGCGGACTGACGTGTATGCCCGCGGCGCAGGTCTCTCGCTTTTCTTAAACCGATAGTATGCACCTTGGGCTGGATCGTTAAATTTCGAGAGGATCGCGCGTGGAGCCTGCTAACCTGCCATAATTGGCTCATTACACGAGGCATTAGGAGCCAGCCAAAATTCGTATCCTCGCAAATTGGCGCACGTGTCATCGCCAGGAAGTAACTCATTCAGGAAGTCACGGAACGTTTCGATAGAATGCGGCCAGGTGTGAAACGGGGCACGTAATTAATATTCGAATAAAGTGATCAAAGATTTGTATTAAGTTTCTTCGTATTGGGAAAACGTACGAAACTCTTTGAAATCTTTATTCTAAATACATGCCGTTTAGGCGACGCTTATACAATCCGGCTGACTATCCAAGGAAACATATTTTCGGACTTTGACACGTGAGTAACGGGTTCTAATCACAATAACGCCTAAAGAATTACGGTGTGTGGCCTTCTTAACTAGAATTTGCTGATACGGAGAAAGAAGTCTACAAAATTAAAAAATATATTGTAAAGCCAACAGTTGTTTTAGACTGTAATAAAAACGGGTGGAGTTGACGGAGGAGATCAACTTCTTAGCAAATTTTACACCATGTGTCATCATCAGAAAGTTTATAAAAATGAGTTTCTTTATTGTCTCGACATGATTCTTTTGAACAGTTATGTTGTTTTCAAAACAATTTATAAGGACAGAGCATTCCACGTTTTCAAGCAAAAATTAGCTGAAGAAATACTTTAAAAAAACTATACCTAAAATCAACACACCACAAAAAAAAAGAACAATTACACCATGTTCATCATTGCTACAAAGTTTTACCGGTCAACATTTTTCAATTCTTATCGAAACGGCTTCAACAAACAAAGGTCGCAAGCGCTGTGTAATTTGTTTATCAGAAAAGAAAAGAAAGATACTCTTTAACAATGTAATAATTATCATGCGGCATTATGCCTTGCCTTCAAATATTATCATGTTGTACAAAATAGTTAGATTCTATTCCTCTGATAATTGTAAATATAAGCAAGTATAAATTCTTTAAATATGTTATATATCTTCATTTTTTACATTTTGAAACATTTACATTTAAATACAATCAAAAAAAAGTTCAGTCATAAGGATTAATTTTTCATTTCTCCGTGTGATGCAAATGGGTTAAATGCCTGTGGACTAGCGTACAATTTACCAAGAGAAAATCGAGTTCTCGTTGAATACTTGAGCGAGTATCGCAATCGGACAGACTAGTCCCTACCGACCTTAATCGATCGCCACGCAAAAATTATATCGGCGGAATCGGCGTGATTTCTGAGGATCATTAAAAGTTTGTTGGCTCTCAATGAACTGAGTTTGTTGTTTCCCTTTGCGATTATCGTTCTCATACGGGGTAGGAAAGAGGAGAATGATTTATTAACAGCACGCTGGCAAGGGCGTTATTGCCCGTAAGACGGAGAGCATCGTCAGCGTCGTTATTGTCACATGAAACAAACAGCAGAGTACACAGCCGGCCGGTGGAAATTGGAGCACTTAGTTCGTAATGGGTTATCACGATGTGCCCCTACCTCCTACCGACATATTGTGTCCCGCTTGGAGGGAGCACCAGCAAACGTCCAAAATGATTGGCCGGTTTGTTACCATTTTTTCATTCACGCCAAGCTTCCGTATAAAACAGCAGCAAACCGAGATACCACAGCCACTAGTCAGGCATTTCTTAAACGAACGCACGCGTCTCATTCATTCGAATCTCTCGACTCTTTGTTTGTGATCGACCAAGGTGATCGGCTTTTATCGATCTGAATAGATTATTCGAACACCATGCCTTTCGCGGATTCCGGCAATGTCAACGGGAACAGAGTGTATCAACCACTGAAGCGGCGGGCGGAAAATGAATTCTTACACGCGACGGTCAAGCACTCAAACCACACCACGTGAGTTTTTAAATTTTAATGGATGTATAACATGCTGGAACGTCATTTTAATTGATTCCATTTTTCTTCGAACTCGTCATTGTCAACTATTCAATTAGAACCATGCCAATTGTATACGCTTCATGGTAAAACGTTATTTACGATTTATTGCCTGTCAGTCATCCTCATTAACTCGAAAATGTTATAAACTATTTGGAAAGGTTGTAACTCTCGGTTCATAAACGAACGCTTGACGGATAAATAAATGTTGTGATTTATTTTCGGAGCATTATTAATTTCATGCATCCTTTGCCTGAAGCTATCGTGATTTCGATATTATATTTGTTTCGGTAATTTAAGTCAATTAAGATCAAAATCTACTGATTGAATCAGTACGATATTTTAATATTTTTAACGCCTATTACAATTTGTAATTTTCTTAAGGACACGATTATGAATTTTTTACTCGTACGGTTTGACGAGTTTGGCCACAAGATTCTAGTGCAGGAATACAATAAAATTAACAACACTGCCATCGGTCCTATAAGTCTTTTACGCGTTTTAAAAAATACTTATTCCATATGCAGATTCGGCCTTCAGTAATGTCGCCACGGTTTGGCGTCGCATGGTCAGTGTCTTTCACTCGCATTAACGAATAGTTCGATTGATAAACTTTGCTTCGCTTCATCTTTCATGAAATTAGAGTAAAGGTATGAAGTACGAAGTACGATATACTCTTCAAGTTCGTGAGCTTCGGAACAGCCAATTTGGAGTTCCTTTGATTTTGTTGATTTAATCGATTAAACCGTGCAGGTTCGTGCAGACTTGATGAAACAGGAATCAACTATTAAATAGTAGCCCGATGACTTTGACGTTGCAGTAAGCGACACAGAGATATGAGCAAGAGATCTTCGTGTCAAAAGTTATCGGCAAATTTCGTAAAATGTTATATCATTTTAGCCAATAACACGAGTGACGTTTTTATTAGAATTCATCAGACGTGTTTGTGGCTAGCGATTGATTCGAATTGAACTGATTGAATTGATCGATTAGGTCATCGAAGTCTTGATCGATTAGGTAAATCAATCGAAGAACATCCTTACGTTTCGGTGAAACTTTTCCATAACAGAAAATTTAATCATCGGAACAGGTAAATGAATTTGTTAGTAAGTGGAAGATTAATAGTAATCCATATAAAGATTTGTCATATGCAGCTGCATAATACTTGACGTAGCATTAATATGATAGGTTCTCCACGAAAGCAATTGACACCGAGTCGCGATTAAGTTCCAAGACAGAGTCTAGGATTCCCTAGGAGTTCCGAGTACGGCATGCATCCATAATCGAGATTAGAGCGGCCGATATTGTAGGCAGATTCGCGGAGGCGTCATTGAATCCTCGCGATCGCCCGAAGCGATGCGCATTCACGTCGTTATAATAATCGTCGACCTTACATTTGCCATTCATAACGGGCCACCGTACAATCCCGTTTTACGACGAAGCATCCGCGAATGCGGTTGGTCTAATGACGTTTGCCATACCCGCGGCTATATCGAAGCCTTTCCAGGGGAACCCGACGAAACTGCGAAGCAATTCTCAGATTCGCGGCTGAATGCGACTGTATTGTCGACGGGGATGCACATTCAGGGTGTATTCAACGCGTTATAATTCGATGTCCCTAATGCCGCGCACACGTCGCGATTACTCGATCATCCACGTCTCGCTATGCGCGAACGTCACAGTTCCGAAGCGAGAGAGGAAAAGAATGAAAGACTCAAAGAAATCTCAAAGATTTAAGATACGTAGACAGCCTTTGACAAGATTTTAAATTCATCGTATATCATTTTCCACATTTAACATACTAGTCTTTTATATCTTTGCTATAAAGACAATTTAGCTCCGGAACTAGAAAAATGTTCTGTAGGATTCGTCCCGCGGTAGCTTCCGTTCAGGTGTGTTAAAAATTTTTTCGTTTTCGGGCTGCCGCGACGCGAATTGCAAGATAAGAAAAAACGAGCATGGAGGACATTACAATTCGCAGCGAGATCGCAAGCAATTTTCGACCGCGCCACGCGTGTAGCATTATATGTGTTCCGCGGCCGCATTTGTCCGGACGGACGCATGGAAATTCTGCGTGTGCATCTGTGCGTAGAACCGGCTGGTGGGTGCATTCTGCATACGCGCACGCGTGAGCGCTCGTATACATACGCGCGCGTCAGATGAACATAGTCGCGTTCGTACACAGACACCCGTAAATAATGTTAAAGCAGTAGCCCGCGTATTTCGATGCATGATTTGTAATACCCTGCAAGCCTACATTTAGCTTAAATCCAGCGCTATTTGTGCCTGTTAGCAGTTTAACAGGTAACTGCACCGTTTTGTGATAGTTCCGATGATGAAATTATGTTGTCACGCTTCCTCTCCTTCCAAAATCACGAATATTTATACTCGCGAGTTCATCGAAACGCAGTCGGATTTTGTTCGTTGATGCCGATATCTTTTATCGTTACAGATACACGTTCGAAGCTCTGCAGGAGTCGGCGAAATATTTCCTGGACCGCGTCAAGATTAGACCAAAAATTGGAATTATATGCGGCTCTGGAATGGGTTAGTATCCTTGGAACGATTTCACATGCGTGTTTGGGGCTATATTGTAGTCAGTTATTTGTCTGTACCGAAGCAGGATCAAATGAGCAAAACGAGTTGTGTCCAGGTTCGCTCGCGGATTCGCTCGAGGAGAAACAGTGCTTCCCCTACAATGAAATTCCACACTTTCCCGAGTCCACGGTCGAGGGTCACCAGGGTCAGATGGTTTTCGGTTATCTCCAGGGTGTGCCAATCATGTGTATGCAAGGCAGATTTCATTACTATGAAGGCTACCCACTGTGGAAGGTAATAAAATAAATTCTTCGTTCAATCTTCGGTGATATCGACGATGCTCTCATGAAAGTGATTAAATTCGTTAACAGTGCGATTCGTGACTAATCTATGTTTCGGTTACCCGAAACCCAAGCCTATTCGTTTTTTATAATTCCTAATGACTATGTACTGTTCGTGTTCATAGTGTGCAATGCCAGTAAGAGTTATGAAGCTGGTAGGCGTGACCCATCTGATCGCGACGAACGCCGCGGGAGGTCTAAATCCCACGTATAAGGTTGGCGACATTATGATGGTGAAGGATCACGTGAACATGATGGGTTTTGCAGGGAACAACCCTCTTCAAGGGCCAAACGACGACAGGTACTTTTCTCTCGCTTCATTCCCCCCCTCAGCATGTCGCATTACGAAACGCGTGGCATCACTCTATTTCGGTGTTATTATATGTATACTCACGTGCTTCCACCCCTATGTACTCTTCTTCCTTACACACGTATTTCTGGCTGACTATCGAAGTAAGCAAAATTTTGTACGAAACACTCTCAACGCTAATGAGTCGAAAGAAACAGAGAATGACAAGAGAAAAAGAAAGATTTCGACGGTAAAGCGAGTTAGGATGATTCACAGCGTGAACGGTAACGAATTCGAATCCGTTTCCAGTCGACAAAGGCTTTTAAGCTCGTTTCCGGAAGGAACGTCGTCGAGGGCCGCGAATTGCAGCCCTCGATTCTGAACGTTTTCCTTAAGGGTTGTGAAGAAGCAGAAATGGGCGGTCATGCGAGATCATTGAGGTCGTCTAAGGAATAAAATTAATCTATTTCATCGAAGCAACCCCTTGAATCGAATTGATGAACTATTTACCCGACGACACAAAGAATCTGATTGACGTATTTGCTTAAGGAGTTCCCTCGATTTTTCCGTCTATCTTTTTCCGTTTTCTTTTCTTTGCATTCCACTCTCCAGCCTTAGCGTCTCGTTCGTTTTCAGCCGGGCTTTCTTTGCCTTCCATCCTACGAAACTTGGTATTCTTTTTGTTTCTTTCATCCCTTCTATATTACGGCAACCTCCGATATTAATAGAGCGCAACGAACGTGTTCCCCGCATATTTTTTAACGATTGCTTATCCCCTTTTGATTGAGATGAAGTGGTTATTTGTTTTAGGTTTGGTCCTAGGTTTCCGCCGATGAACAAGGCTTACAACGTCGAGCTATTAAAAATGGGTGAAGAAATAGCTGAGGAGATGGGTATCACTGGCATTATGCACAAAGGCGTGTACACGTGTCTCGGGGGACCGAATTTCGAGACCGTGGCCGAGCTCAAGATGTTACGAATGATCGGCGTCGATGCAGTTGGTTAGTATTTCTTGTAGATCACCTTTACCATGCGCAATATATTTCATTAATGCGAGTGGGATTAATAGGAATGTCTACGGTGCATGAGGTGATCACTGCCAGACACTGTGATTTGACTGTATTCGCGTTCAGTCTGATCACGAATCAGTGCGTCACGGATTACGAGACTCACGAGCAAGCGAATCACGAGGAAGTGATAAACGTGGGAAAAACGAGGCAACCGTTGCTTCAAGAATTCGTGTACCGTATGGTGCTGCGGTTACGAGACATGCTGTTGGAGACGCAATGACTCGCGTGATTTAAACGTTCACCGGGCCGTTTCTCAGCTTACTCTTCGCGACTGTTGCACAATGAACGAAGAATCCAGGGAAATACCGGCTTACAAATTAATAAAAAGGGAGCGACGGGTGCTGAACGCAATGCCGATTTAATCGAACGCTGCAGTGAAATCCGCGAGTTTCATTCTCGATGTGGATCGGCTTGCCTCGGGGAAGATTTTCCAGGTGAAAAGAGGGTTCAAAGGCCTGTGTCGGACGACGCGACGCCAACAGCTCGTGACGATTCGATATCCAAGTATCGCATTGGTGTTCCAGATGGAAAACAAACTGTCGACCACTTTAGAATGCCAGTTCCTTCTTCTTTTCCCAGCTCATCATCCGAACTGTGCGATAAGCATCGGATAAGAGAGATCAGATTAAATCAGTATTTAACAGTATTTCACCGAGCGAATAAGGCGTCGTCGGTTTATCCGGCTTATCAGTGAACTATTCATCGGGATTCAACCGCGTTCCCTTTAATAACAATTTCGCCGCAGGGTGTACATAGCAGGTATACGCGTATTCAGAATCCGTTTGAATTCGAGAATCGGCTGCGCGTAGTTTCTGATCTCAATTGATTCGTTACGCGTCTTGAGGGAGCTCGTTTAGCTTTAAGAAGAGGGAACGGTTTAAGGGCTGGAGAGGATGGTAAATGCGCCACCTTCCCTCCCCTCGGCGGAACTCTCGTCGATTTTTCTCCCTCGCTTCGTTACCTTCATCTCTTACCGTGCTCTTCCATCGCTAATGCATCGGTGTTCGGGTTCGATAAATCTCGAGCGGTGAAGACCATACTGCCGCGGCCCTTCTTCTCTCCTCGTTTTCTGCCGCAGTTGCTCCTTTCGGATTACCATCCCCGCGATTAAATTATGACGTGACGTCGCATCGGCGAAGACGATCGCGAAAAAGTCACCGATATCCATCGTTTCGCATGCGGAAATGAAAAATATTTAGATTGTAATGCGAATCCTGTGTTAGTAATCTAGTTGTTGATTGAACCAAATGCGGTATATTGGGTATCTGCTGTACTGTAATTTCATTGACAGTTTATTTAACAATGATGAGTCGAGATGAAACACCGATGTGCAATTGTAATACATGTTTGTAATATAAACGTATAATACAGAGACAAGTGAAGTAATTTGCCAAGTTGTTTATGTTTAGTTTCATAGCGTGGAATTATACCGCAATATCTCACGGATGAATGGAGAATTGTAATTATACTGGATCGTGGAGGAAAATGCAACGATAGAGACCTGTTCCACGCTTTCCGCTATTTGTAACTTTGATAAACAGAAGAACTGTACAGGTAACAGTGGCTAATTAAACTACCCCCTTTGTTACCCGGCTCGATCAACTTCGACGGAATCGCTTAACGAATCGGTTCAGCCGATTTGTTCTTCATTTCCGAGCTCTCGAACACGACAACAACACGAATAGAGAAAGAGTATCCACTCGACGTACTCGAACGTTCGCGCTTCGATACACGGCAATCATATTTTAACCCAGTTCGACCTCGATTCCGTGCCCCCTCGATGTACTCCAATTTCTTTTTTTACATATGATCTTGGACCGAATCGGATTGATCGCCTCTAAGAGGGAGAATAACTGAAACGTAACATCTAACATCGTTCTATAATTCGATTTCAAACTATAAATCCGCAGTCGCAGCGATACGTGCTATCTTTTCGATGTGTACTTTCTGAATGTTTCTAGGAGATCGGTGCGCGTATTCTCCGAATTTAAAAAGATACACTCGGGCACGTTTCCTGTATGGTATCCATATCCATTCGTGGGGAAGGAAAGGATACGGCTTCGGCTGTTCGTGTATTTCCGCGTTGAAATAGAAACTGTACGAGGGATCAGTTATTGATATTTCTGGAACGGCAGATAAAACTTTTTCCCGCTGTCTAGCATGGCAGTCGTATATCTTTCTGCTTACCGAGCCACTTTCGAAGGACAGCAACACCATAATCGAGATAGGGGATGATGTATTTCGGTGTTAACTTTTCCCCTCTTACTTCGCCGGTGATAATGTTGGGAAAAGGAGTTAACGAATAGGAGAAGCTAAGGTGTTCGCGCGGTCAACGAGAGAAAGGATAGCAAGGGATGAAATTCAGAACGGAGAAGGCCTGATTATTTCAGAGAATAAGGACTGATAAGGTAATCCCGTTCTGTATCTTTATAAGCCCTCCCTCTTTTCTCGCTTTACCGCCCGCCTTCGTGAAACGAGATGCATAATATGATTGTGCTGCAATATCACCAACGAATAAGAACCCGGTATTTTCTATGAATTAAAGTATACAAGACAGGGAGAGAGAATAAATGACGCACTGTTAACGATGCGTCTCTGTCCCTTCCGACCGGTTCGTTTCATTACACGCAAAGCAAAACTGGATATCGTGGCACAATAAAGCGTTTCATCTCTCTTTTTCCCCGGCGATATTAATTCATCGGCAAGGAAATCGATGGGAACAAAAGAAAATGGTAATAACTCGGTAGATAGATATTAGAAATATTCAAGCTTCGGGCCTGGAATACTAAGGAGGATCGATAAAATGTTACACACGCGAGTTCATGCAAGGCGATGCATCTATATTTGACCATTTTTTATATCAAACGAGTTTTTTAAAGTTTTATTACTGAAACCCGCCTGTGGTATGCAAAAATGCAATTGCAACTACAATACATAGAATATGTGTCGATAAGCGTGAGCCCGTTGGGCGTTCGAAGGTTTCAAACTTTCCCGCCGATGTCGCTACGGTCGTTAATACCCGCCCACCCTACTACCGCCGTTCGTATAAGTTCGCCCGGCCGGAGGAACCGCTAGTGAATTTAGTACGACTCGTGACGTCGCGGTACTCGGTTGTTCGGTCGTCGTGTAGGTACACGTTCACCCTTTGTCGGAGATGTGACCGGTTCAGGAAGTGGCGTGCGTTTTTTTCGTATGCAATTATCGCGCGTTTCGGAGCGTCCGTACGTCGGTAACCTCGATTATCGAATGTAAAAAACGCGGGTATACGTCGACCGCCAAGTTCGTAGTGCATCGTGCGTCACGTTTCCTTCGCAAGGATTCAATTCGTAAAGATTGCCTGGAATATTATACAATATCGTATACCTGAGTAGCGTCCGACCGGAGCTTGGTATTCCGTCGATGTCGTTGCAGCATCTTACTCCGAACGACAGTACGCGTCGATCTTTGCTTCCTTGTTCGGATTGCGGGAACAGTACTGTGGATCGACACTCCAACACGTTCGCCGGTCTTAATTATTGTTCGTCCTTCGATTCGAGCGACCAGTGGTTAACGACGCGTTAAACTGCCGGCTAATTAATCGCGTCTGCCTGACTGACATTCGTCGCGGACGTTTGGACAGGAGGAGGCGTCCCTCTGCGCGTATACATGAGCCCGGAAAAGAGGCGTCGCAGAAAGGTTGACACGTTCGCGGTGCCGCGGGTGATCGGTATGTAATTCGAGCGTGAAAGAATCCGTATAAAAAATCGTTAGAAATCACGATTTCTACGGCGAAAGTGAATGACGGGTAGTGTAGTAAGAGAGTGGAATCGCGAGTAGGGAACGTAAATACATAGAAACACGGTGGCGTGTCCGATCCTTCCCTCTCTCTCTCGCGTCCTAAGCGAGAGTCGCGAGAATCGAATCGCTTCCAATCGAGGACGAAAGAAAGAAGGCCGGTGCGTAAAACATGTCGAGGTTGCTGAAAGGCGAACCGACCGGCGGTTATGTCATTGACTCGATCGCGAATCGTCGAATGTATTAACTCGGGCCGCGAATGACGCGTATCGTGGTGGCGTGAGTGAAGAAAGAAACGACGGCGGAGGACGCGCAATTGAAACTCTACGGGGAGAACGGTGTTCTGTTCTGAAAGAAAAAGCAGGCCAGGCGTCGTGCCTCCTACTGCCTACCGGAAGTCATATGCCCATACACGCGCGGAAAACGGTAAATCATCGTAGAAGCCATCGGCTATAACGAGCCTGCACGTTTATTTTGCGTTGGACCGAAACACGCCTGCCTGCCTGCCTTCCCCCACCTCTGTGTTGTTCGTTTTCTTTTCCTTGGTTCACCCGGTGTTCTTCGTTGTGTTCCGTCCTTCTCTAAGGTATGTCCGCAATTTAAACACTTTTATTCACTTGTTCAGATTATTTTTTAGCCTTCTCTAACTGTACGGCCCTCATATGTTTCCACTATTGTTTACGCTTTCCAAACATTATAATTAGCGGTTAAACAGTTTGGTTACAGAAGGCTAAATGTATTACTTTGCAACTCTCAATTAATACCGATGTATAAGCGCGTGACAATTATACTACGTATTGACTTTGCGCTTTTTATTATACATACGCTGTTAATGATGCTTTATTAGCGACAAATGATTCATATATAAATATAGACATTTTTATGTTACGTTCTCGCATTCATATTCTTTGGTTAAGCGCAAAACAAGTTAAAACTCGACCGCTTGAAAAGAGAAAATACGAAAAGAATTCGAGGGGGCTGACTGCCTCGCTAGCCGGCATTCCATTCGTATTCTTTGCTCTGACAAGTTCCGGCGCGTGGGGTAAAAAGTTGGCTGCGCAACGTGTGAACCTTTAAAACCGTGGCGCATAGGTTGCGATTTTCAATTTCTCTTGTTCCTCGGTTCGCTCCTTGAGAGATCTGCTGTCCCATTGCATTCCCGGGATTCTCGCAACCGCAATTTCAGCAGTGGCCTTACGCGATGCTTTCTCGATAGATTTAGAAACATTCAGTAATCGCGACACAATTGTGTCGCTTTATTTTTCCACTTGTACTTCAACGAGTCACGCGATCAGGCCAAGCTCTCGTTTAACACTGTCTGAGTCGGCCTCTCGCAGTCTTTGAAAGGGTCTATTTCAATTGCCGCGGTCGCTATCTTTCGCGTCCTTCGTGAATGAATAGAATAGGATGAATGAACGAAGTATATTTCAGAGAAAACTTTTGTCGCAGTGTACTGATTAAACCGCGCATCGTTTCCGCGAAGTTCTTGCGAAGTTCGTGCAAGAATTCGTGCTTGTTAGGGAACGATCGCGTGTAAGTACAGTCGCCAGATTCGAGTCGCCTTGTAATGCGCAATTACGAATCATATATTGGACAAGGAATAAAAGAGCAGCAGGATGGACAAGGTATCGACGCGTGCCTACGTGTGTACCATCCGGAAATCCTTGCGATGTGTTTCCCTCCTCTCGTTTTTCACGCGCGGTGGCTATTTTCTTCCTCCCATCTCTCTCGTCCACCTTCTACCGCTCATCCTTCTTCCTTTTCCTCTCCCGTTCTCTCTTTTGAGCCATAAACAACTGGTACCCGACGTTTGGCAAGGTTATTGGTTTTTGCGAGAGACACAAACCGTGTACACGCGTCCGACCTCCTACACGCGTATCACACAATCGTTCTTTCCTTCTCTTACCGCCTTCCAATTCCCTCCTCACTGTCCGTGGATCACCTTCTTTATCCATTCTCTCATCTGGACGTACACGTACGCGCGCGTAGGACGCTTATACAAAGACCCCATACACCGCGTATGCTTCACGTGGGCAGATCTAGTACGGGACCAACTCTCAGAGACAAACACTTTAATTATAACATTGTCACGCGCAAACGTGCGGCCACACACGTACACGTGATCGCGATATCGATGCTTTCATTAAACACGAGCACCTTCACCGGTACTAATACTATTATCTGATTACCGATGGTATGCTCGAATTTGATATAACACCTACCACGTCTGCCTTGTCCCCTGACAAACTCATATTTATCACCGGCACGTTGTTCCCTCGATTATGCAATTAAATTGCAATCCAAATAGGAATTTCTTGTATCGGTTAACAATAATAATATGCATTTCACTTCTGATATTCTATTGAACGGTTTATGCACTTTACGTTCTCTGCAAAAACAATTATTCGAAATTTGCAGTCTAGTGATTGTTCGAATAGAGTATGCGTTGCAAGACTTTCAAGAATAGGTGAAATATGAAGAGTTACACGGAGAGACCTTCATTAACACGTTCTGCTATCTTATCGTGTACTGTAGATCACTCTATAATGTTGTAACTAACCGAGGGCAATACGCGAGTACACGTCGTGTCGATCGTGTGTGGGCTATCAAACGTATTCAGTTACAACGTTCTCCGGTGAACGTTCACAATTGTAAGATTGTCTTTCTGAGATCACTGTAACCTAGATATGGTGCCGAATCAACAAGTATCGTGTTATCGATACGTAACGCGAATCGTGGATGCTAGGAGAGCCGGGAGTCTTAGGATGATCGACGGGAATTCCAGGCGATAATGGCACGTAATTAAGAATCGCGGTTATCCCATCCATGGCGAGTTCCAGATACCGTGGTCATCCAGAAACATCCGAAGTGACTGATCGAAGCGGAAAATCTGTTGGTTTTAAGGGAAGCAGGCATATTGAAAAGTGCAATAAAGAACGCAATGAATTGATTTTCAATTTTTCTCAGTACTCTGTCTTAAGCTGCCAGACTCGAATTGAACTAAACGGTTCTAGTTTTATGCCTCATGCTCGAGAGATTCTTTTCCCTACAGCCGTATCACTATTTTGTCTGTGCCATGGAAATGTGTTTATTTCTGTAAAATTCGTTCTGGAAAGCATGATCTCATAGGTTTGGACTTTCTCTATAAGTTTAGGATACCTCATTCACAAACTTCCTGAGAATACGAATAAGGAAAATTTATAAAAAGATTATCATTGATTTTGTATGTATATCTATAAATTCGATTTCTGAATTAATAATATTGCAACTCTTCCATGCTGATGACTGCAATAATTTTTTATGCTTCATCGATTGCGCACTAGTAGGAATTTTTGATGTTTCAACAAAATGTTTTTTTAATGCAGCGATTATAGTAGTTAACAACTGTTTTGTAGCATTTTAAATATTGGACTCTGGAGCTTTATATATTATTTTTACGTCATGCAAACTTTTCGCTAGAGCTGGCATTTTTTGTCTTGTTTTGTAATAAATGGTCGTGAAGTTACAATTTTGAAGTTACTATAGATATCTGGAAACGTGTAATAATTTCGTTGTACCTACGTCGTCGGTGATATGTATGCATACATACATATGTATAGAACGCGTACACGTTCTGATACCGAGTGTCGAGAGTAATGGCGGTACCACGTCCTGCCGTCGATTCATTTTTACCCAATTTCACGCACCGGTACACCGCGACCCACCCCTTAGTTGCGCACGCCCACCCCTTTCGAAATCGCCTCCGCTCTCTATTCTCCTTCACGCCGGGTTCTGCTCCTATCTCCGTTTCTTTTCATCCTGCGCGGCGGTTTCAAACCCCGACGAAAACCGCGTTTTCTCTCTTAATTTTCGTCGCGCGAGAGCGCACCCTGTTTTCGACGTTGCGGTTTATTTCCGTGGTCCACCCCCGCCATGTACGTGTAATGCGTTTTTCAATCACGCACCACCGGATCCGACATTCCTCTCCCCCGATAGAAATTTACTCGTTTCGCGGCCAACTCCCGCACGCATGAACGTGCCCCTTTTTTTTTTTGTTGTTGGTTAAACCGAACGCAAACGTCCGCATTTTAATGTACTTTGCGTAAATTCATTTTCGCCGCGATACCGTTTTGTCCATCGCTCGATTATCGCCGTCCTGTTTTTCACCTCCACGTTTCCATCAACCGTTTCTTGTCGCGTCTTTTTGCAGTGCGCCAATCAGTTGCTCAACGATTATCGATTGCTCTCCAAATGATAATGATATAACGATTAGACAGTTTTAAGATGAACCTGCGGTTTTTGCATCAACCTTTAGAAGGCGTTCTTCTATGAATTCTTCTCATTTTTAAGCAAGTTTTTATAAAAGCTTAGGAGAACCAATAAACTTAATTAATCTGTGTAGCCAGTATTGAGAAAGGAAAGCGGTTGTAAGTCTAAAAATAAGCTTGCCTAAAGCAGTTTTGATAGCAGTGACTATGGGAAAGAATCTGCAGGGGTCCGATTGGCTATGTGAAAATGCATGGAATTTAGATGGATTTCATAGTCTCGTTATCGTCACGGGTTATTCGATTCGGGCCCCGCCGACGTGTCGTAATGAGATTTAGTTGCAGAGGCCGCGATATATCCCTTGCTTGGGTTGCGATTGTAGCAAGTAACGTTGCGTAAAGCGCGGCAGAGGTAATTAATAATTTTACATTAATTATGCAACGCTACGGCTCAACGTTCTAATTAACGTCGCGCGCCGCGAACAAACATGGCCCCTGTTTTTCTATGCGTTTCATCGAAATTCAGAAAACGCGATCCGGCTAATTGCGCGATTCATCTGAGCCAGTACCGACATTTTCTTTCCAGACACACCGGAATCTCGTGCGCCGGCGAGTCTTTTGTTAATACCGCGTGTACGTAACCCAATGCCACTGACGAATGATCCAATTTCACCGGTTACAGTCGCGAAATAATTTATGCGTCGCGAACCTGACGAAAAATTCCGCTCGGTTAAATATGACCACTATTGCAATCTCCAGGGATCCGCGCTATAACGCTTTTACAAAAATAGACTACGAGTACGGAAGGATTTTTTTCGTGGGAGGAGAGGACATCTTGTGCGAAGCTTCTATCTCTACACACTGGAATGCACGTGGAACCATTTGAATGGAGAGGAAATAAAGAGTGAATCAGCCAAAAAGTTCATTGAGTGGAAAAGGCAGGGAGGGAAAGATGGGAGGATAAAACGTGAAAATTGTAGACGAAATAGAGATATTCCTGTGTCCTTGATGACAGAGCAGCGACGGGACTTTTAATTAATTAAAAGTGAGCAGCAGCTGTCGTAAGCGGCGCGCGCGAGGCTGCTCCCAATTTTCATGCAATTATACCCGCTGTCCGCAGTTTTGTAGCGCATTTTGCGTGACTAACGGATAAACGGTATTGTTGTCCAGGGAAAATGGATTGATGGAGATAACAGACGGGCATAGCGAGAGAAAGAGAGGGTAGCCATAGAAAGGGGCAAAGATAGCTCGGCCATGTCAACCGCCGGCCAGTACCAATTATTTTCAAATTACGAATTTCACCATGGCGTAGTACAATTGATTTATCCACGTCATCGAGTACAGACGACGCAATTGATCCGTGTCATTCCGTGAAGCGCGGCGCGTCATTTTTTTACGCTTGCTTCGATACCCTAGACCGAACTTGCGAGCTTTTCAATAATTCACGAGATTTCGACGTGATTGTACATTTGATTGCGAAAAATGTTCATTCTTTCCTTTTTAAAGTTGATTCCGAAATGAGGTAGCTCGCTTACTTTTTTAATCTCATTTAGTGGATTTCTTTGATCGCCTCTCTGAAAAGATCTCGTAACACCTGATGGAATCTGTTATGGGCAAGGTACGATCAAAGGGAACACGATTCTGTGCTTTGTGTAAGCGTTCAAATATCGTGGAAAATGTGTCGCTCGTATTCGCGGAAACTCGTATACAGAGAGATTGGATCTACTAGCATGGACAGAATACTTTAAACGAACGGGATGTTAATGAAACGAGGTGCAAGACGCGACGGGCATAGTCTCGCGACCTCGATTTCACGAAAAATAGCCGCGTTACTGGTAGTATGTGCGGCAACCCGTTCCGTACTAGCTGATCGATCGAATCTATGCCACGGTTTCAACCTTTCTGGTTTATGTACCAACCTGCTAAATATGGATGCGACGAACGCGCTAAACGATTTATTTAATCTGTTGATATTTTCGCAACGTAAACAGCTGATCGTGTACGTTGTTAAACAAATTTATTTTGGAGCCATTAGAACTCACGTTCGGACGTTAATCCGGGAACTTTATCGTTTATAACTAACTGATTAACGATGACGGTGGATTTTCTGTGTGGTTCCAGCGTGCGGTCTGCGAGGAAATCGAAATGGTCGAGCTGTGCGGCAGCGGACAACCGACTTCAGCCATGGGAGTAATGGGAATCGGTACGGTCGTGCCCGCGGCTACGTCGTCTTCGTCGTCATCGACGACGACCACTGCGGCCTCTTCATCGACGTCCGGACGCGCCGGGGTGCTCGAGACCCAAGTTCGCGGCCAGTGGTATCGCGTGTTCGTTTCCTTGGAGGACGATTACTTGAGCATCTCGTTGGACGAGAGCTGCGAGAACAACGCGTTGAACAACGGTAACATAAACAACAACAACGTCGAGAGTTTGAACGATCCCGACGTGCCGGACTCCGTCGCGAATCAGAAACGTATCGTGCGCGTGGTAAAGAGCGACAACAACGGCCTCGGTATCTCGATCAAGGGCGGCAAGGAGAACAAAATGCCGATCCTGATCTCGAAGATATTCAAAGGGATGGCGGCCGACGCGACGGAACAGTTGTACGTGGGCGACGCGATTCTTGCTGTGAACGGGGAGGATCTGCGCGAGGCGACCCACGACGAGGCGGTGAAGGCGCTCAAGAGGGCCGGCAAGGTCGTCGAGCTGGAAGGTGAGTCAATTACCAAACGTTTTACACGTACATTGTTTGCATGACTCACTGTAGAAATGACGACCAGTATAATCTGTTACTTAAAGATCTTAAGATAAGTTGGAAGTTTTCTAACATTTATTAATGCAATGTTATTCGAATATGTGTTCGCTAAATCAAATATGTATATTCGGTATCATTAAGTGTTACGATGTGAAAAAGATGTGCGAAGTTGATGCATTAGTCGATGATGACGAAGGAAACAGGTTGAAGCAAATTGGTCTCGCGATTATACATACATAGTTAGGTAACGCCGTCGGTTAGGTGGGAAGATGTACTTAGATTTCTAAATGTCACGTAACGGATTTCTCTCCTCGTAAAAGATTTCTTGTTCTTTCGTTTAGATTCTAAAGTTTCGAAGGATTCATCAGTATTTGACACGGATTCCTTCTGACGAGAATACCGATCTCGTAACTGAATTCGACAGACGAATTAATCTGGTAACATCAACGGTTCCTGCGTTCTCTTTGAAAGCTAATTCGTGGATAATTAATAGCTAACCCGCGTTAGCGAAATCAGGGTGCCCGGCACTCTAGGCTGTGCTGCTTGACTCGCAGAGAATTTTGATCCGTGGAAACGGGAGCGTAAACGCAAACGTAAACGCAAACGCAGATTCGTTTAGCTCCGCGTTCGCGTTGAATCGGTGAAATGCTCGTCCAGAAGTAGAAGTAGCTAGGCCAGGAGCCGCGTCGCCTAACGAGGGGTTGGAGGACATTAATGAGGTTTTCGTTCCAATTAGCCCCGAGTGACGCGACGCACTAAGTTTGAACGTGGAAATCTCCGCCAAATTCCCTATTGCACGTTTTAATATCGAATCCCCTGTCTTTGCGCGAAATTCGAGCATTCGCAAAGTCACAATCGGCACAGCTTTGCCTCGCGAGAATATAAACACAAAGGAAAATTCAAAGGGAAAGAGACCGTGCACGGAAAGGAGCTTTTAGCTGGATTAATGTACCATCTTGGAGGATATTTTTTTCGCCGGGGGTTTCAGATATATCGAGGAAAGGTAGACAATTCCTTTCTCGGTTTTCGGTTTCGACCCGGAAATCAGCGTGACTTTGCAGTTTCCGCGCGAGTTCCCGCGCTTCGGTACACACCGCCTCCAGACGTGTACTATTATCAAAAAGTGCGAGGCTGAAAGAAGCAGCGCGCGGGGTGAAAGGTCGGCGAGAAAACGTGTACCGTGCTGCCTGGAGCGTTAAATGGCGCCTCCCATTCCATCCTCCTCTCACGGTCGTGTCTCTTCTACCTCCGCGTTTCGTCTCTCACTTTCTAGCTTTCACCCGGTGGCCCTCACCTCCTCTTTCTTCCTCTCACCACCCTTTCTTTCCGCGCTTTTATTTCGCTTCCTTTGTGACCGGCTATCGTTTGTTTCTCATACGAATCTTGTACGAACGACACAAACCCCGGCCGGTGAAGCGCGACTCTCGTTGCACACGTTCCTGTCCGCCTGCACTTTGCATTTAACGTTCTCCGGTCGATGCACGACACGCGTACATCGCTACGCGTCCTAGTCGTGCATGCATGCGAGTCAACGATACTCACCCGGGTACACGTACACGCCGAACACGAATGCCCGCACACGTAAACGACTCGTGTGCGACAATGTTTCATTGCTGCGGGGCTTTCAGGCCGGGCAACTCCGCCGCGATTCTGTGCACGTGAACGCACCTGTACCGTTATTTTCTCCCACGTTCCGAAAAGCTCGCGCAACCAAAAATTCGACCATGGAACGGCTCGTTATTGAGCCATTTCGGTTCCCGTCCGTTTGCCGAAATCCGTTCTCGGACCGGTGAAACCCGCCGCCCGTGAATGACCGGCCGCGACAGCTCGTTGCGCTTCGAATAATCGCGCGTGCGGTTTTCACGGAAAACTGCCGTCCCTTCGCCTTTAACCCTTTTCGGTATACCGCGTTATATTCCCTCTTTTCATTGATTCATTTGAATCCCTTTCACTGGAAAGGTCGAAGGCCACGCAAGTTGGGTTTTTCAATGTCTTACACTTGGCGAAGAGAGATTCCAAGCTGATCGCACGCAAAGTAATATTCTGCTCTTAGATATCTTGTAAATTTTGAAGTGTCAAACGACAAAATCTCCCAGGTGACGCTTTTAAAAGGTATATACCGTGCGAGTACGTGCTCCTTTCCCTCGGTTTTGCCCCTCGACCGGTGACATCTCGCTGCCCGACAGGTTTTCTTTTATTCAGACGCTTTCGGTACGATTTCTCGCGGCACGTAGGGCACACGCCGCGTTGCGCCGCGTCGTCTAGCACGTGCGACAACCCCTCGTCGTCCTCTTTCGTTTTCCGCTTTCGGCCGCTCGTTCGCCTTCCTCTTGTTCTCTCTTATCTCGGCCGGCTGCCAGTTTCACCAGTGGGTGATGCGCGGAATGCGATACTCTGCACTTTACGTCCGCGCGGACGTGAGATGCAAAAGCGGCGGCGGCGTGGGCGGCCGAGCAAGAGGACTGGAAGAGACACGCAGCGGGAAACGTAGTCAATAACACGGGGACACCGACAGAGGAGGATGGAACGGAACGTGGGAGCGGGAGAGTGGATTACTGGTTGACCCCGCACCGGATTCATCGGGGCGACGGAGGGGACGAAGACGATAGAGGCAGGGAGAAGGCTTTGGAATACATTATCCTAGGATTTTCATCGAGACTCGTTCAGTGTCGGTCACGAAGACCTACCTGCGTTTCCGTTTAAGAGGCAGATTCTGGCAAAAACTTTCAGTTTCGCGGAATAAAATTGCAGTCGAGGAGCCGCTCGCCGCCGCTGGCTTCTCCTCAGAAACTTTCCGAAAGGCTCTCGGAATCGAATGGAAGTTAGTCTGGCTGATAAACGAAGTCGAATTTATTGCCTCGCCGCTTTCGAGATTTACCCTGATTTATTGTATCGTCCCCCTTCTTCGAAACCCTCTTTTTTCTATCCCTCTACTACTTTTTCTTTCTCGACTTCTTTCGACCGTGCATGAATGTTCGGTCCGCGAGGCGTGTCGAACGGTTCGCTTCGGAAAGATTGATTCGATCCTGATTTCGGTACAAGTTACCAAGGCCTCCATCTATTTTATATACAGAGAAATTAGAAAAAGTTTCCAATTCCTTGACCGTTTCCCTTCGTTGTACACGTAAAGCTTAGGATATGTTTTAAAACGTACAATTAACTGCGAGTGAATTAAGTGTCAACCGACGAGTAACTTCTGATGATTATTAATTTCGAATAGTTGCCAGATTTTGTGATGGACACTCGGAAATGCAAAACTTATGAACAGAAATGTACTTAGAGTGTCTGCATATTATTTTGGCTCCGTAATTCAATTTGCTCGAATCCTCGGCCTCGATCGTCGAGGTATTCATTACGGCAGGGGAAAAATTTGTGGCGCGAATAGCTTCCCTGCAATACGGACAGGACTTCGCGTGACTTTTCCTCGCTGTTATCTATTCGGTCGCAATCAGAACGTCGGATCTGCAGAATTTCGTCCGTGAAATATCGCGTGGCCTTGATTATGGATCGTCCGGCAGGGGCACACAAGATTTCCTACGTATCCTTTCGTCCGGATATTTGTTACCCGGCTTCCCCGTCCACGCGATCGTTGGGCAATAATTTCAACCTGCACGCGTGCTACTTATATTACCGGATTAGGTTGCCCGGCCGATTGTTCGTACGCCTACGATTTACGTAAGAGTACCTGTTAGTTGTTCTCCGGGTGATACATACTTAGCAGTCTACGTATTACGTGATTTGACGAGCTACCGACCTTTGTCAGCCTTCGAACAATGCGACCGTTGTGCAATCATTATTGTTCGAAGAAAAAACGGAACTGCATCTACTTCCATCATTATTATTTTTAACAATACCGAGAAACATCTCTTGAAATTCTATTCTGTTGCAATTATATCGTTCATTATTCAGTTATACGGGATCCCATACTTCGGTACGCGATCCCTGTATCGATTGTCAAGCGATAATAAACGCTTAGCTGAAGATCGTAGAGGACCAGTTTTGCTCGAATTTTAAACAGACTTGCTGTCCCGTAGACATAATGTTAGGCGAGCGAGTGAAATGTATGAAACGTCTGCGGTACCGCGTCCGCCGTATCTATTTGTAATTGGAACGCGTAATTTTAGTGGAGCATTGTTCCACCGCGTCGGGTTGCATGACGGATGACGTGCGACATCGCGTCGAGGAAATTGCGTCTTAAATCCTGCAGCACGGAATTCCTTTCGTTGCGAACGTCAGACGCGGCCCACCTCCTTCGTCTTCTTCTCGGTCCTCCGTTCGCTTCTGCCGTCAGTCTCTTCCTCCTTTCCATTATCTTAATCGCCTCAGTTTATGAGCCTGCTCGGTTTCGTTGAAAAAGACTTTCACCCCTTGACGATGTTCCACGGCTGAAAGCGTCGCGTTGAATGCAATCGAGTCACGCCTTCGCTCGATTTAAACCCGCTAACTATTCGCGATGTTCCTAAGTACACGCGTCTGCGCGAAATTCTAGAGTACCATACCGCAATGAATGAAATTAGTACAGAGTCCCGAGCAAGGTGTGATTACGTGCAATTTTCGACTTCAAGACGTGGCGTTATCGCTGATAATAAACGCTAATTATAAAAATAGTCGTGATTTTAAACGAAAACCTTCTCAATCGTTATGGTAATGAATTACTAAGGTACAGCCGTTGATGGATGATACGTATGGCCACGCAAATCTGTTTTGCGACGAAACAGTGGGGAGTGCGACTGGTAATAAGCCAAAGGGAGGTCGAGAACGTGCTCGGGCGCGTGTATGTATACGCCGCTGATTAGTGAAATTCGAATAATTGCGCGATGCTGGAGGCCAATTAACAGGTGACGGAAATTAGCCAGCCTCGTTTTATAGCCTCATCACGATAATTAGCTCGACTCTTTGCCGCCGCGCTCCGTAAACCGCTGCATACCGTTCAACACCCCGTGTTCCTCGTTTCATCG